ATTCATACCAGCCTCACCCTTCTCAGCTTCCACAATTAGACGTTCAAAATCAACACCTCACTTCTTCGACCTTCCCCGACGACGAACAATCCTTTACCAAAGTTACCAGACGACGCCCCCGCAAAACTCACAACAACCCACCCCAATACAACCCCACACATTCCGACTCCAATCTCTTCTACCTAAGATTCAAAACTCAACAGACCAGTAACCAACAATTCACTCACAAACAAACCATATCCAACGCCCTCCCATCCCTCAAAATACTCCTCATAAAGATCTTCCTCCTGCACCCCATGACACAGAATATGTCAATCTCAGTAACTTGATCAGAAACTTCGCCCAGACCAAACCCCCAACCTCCAACCGAACACACCCCACTCCGGCACCAACTCACCCAACTCTGCCCGCTCCAGATTTAGCTAACATCAACTACGTTGTCCTCCAACTCACCAACATAATTAATCTCATGATAAAAAATCTATCCCCTATCCTCCATTCTTTGGGTCTCTATACCCAACTGTCCCAACTCAAAGATGTATTCAACTATCTTTCATCCACAAACTACTCCTCTGAACCCACCACCCTATCAAACTCTGTAGCCTCATCAACCTCACTCGATTACAACGCATCAACCCTTCTCAACTCCTCAACTCCTACAAATAATGGACCATCAGACTGAATACAATTCATCCCTCCAGATACTACAATGGAACGCTCAAAGCCTGAGACCCAAAATGGGAGAACTCCTTAAAACTATCAACGATTATGACATCCTACTTTTATCAGAAACTTGGCTACACCCCCAACAACGCCTCAAAATTCCCCACTATAATATTTTAAGGAATGACGAACTCACCCAACAAGGTGGTGGAGTCGCCATTGCCATCAGGGACTCCATCCCATACTCCATCATACCCAACGTTTCAGACACATCTCCCAACCTATCCCTCTACGGAATAACAATCCCCACATTAAAGGGTGATTTCAATATCTACTCCCTCTACAAAAAGCCAAGTATCTTCGTATCTCGAGCTGAATGGTCCAAACTCTTCACTCACGCTCCAGGCTCATATGTCACACTGATAGGCGGGGACTCCAATTCCCATTCACTCATGTGGGGCTGTGGCAGAGATGGTCCCGTGGGACGTGAACTCCTTGAGGCACTCGCTGATTCAGAATTCGTCCTACTAAACGACGGATCTCCTACCAAACTAACCCGCCCGGACGAACTCCCCTCTGCGATAGACATCACCCTGGTATCATCCAATATCTCAATACAATCCTCATGGAGAGTGCTCCCCGACCGCATGGGTAGTGACCACCACCCAATTGTGATAACTACCGACACCCAACACAAACTCTGTAACTTCTTTAGTCACAAAATCAAAAAATCTAAAATCGAATGGACACTCTTCGATGAATACCTCCAGACCAACGCTGACACTATACTAAATCAACCAGATGACTGGTCCTCCACCCAAAAATATGAAAAAATAATCTCCACAGTAATGAACGCCATCCAGGCATCCCTTCCTTCCAATAATTCTCTCCCACCCAAAAATCTCGTCGACGGCAACACCAAAGGACGAAAGCATAAAAGGACTCCCCCCGCACCCTGGTGGAAGGAAGAATGTTCCAAAGCTGTTGCCCTGAGGAAAAAAGCGTCCTCAGCATTCCGCAAATTCCCCGGATACTCCACCTACATAGCATTCAAAAAAACAAACAGCCGTCAGTAAAATAATACTCAGAAAAGAAAAAATCAAAGGCTGGTCTGACTTTTGCTCCTCCCTCCACCGATCTACCCCCATAAATAAAGTCTGGCAGAAAATAAAGAACTTCAAAAACAGAAACTCCTATAACCCCAATTTGCTTGCCCCCCAAGATAATGAGTCAGCCACGAGAATGAGAGACTTCATCTCTGATTTCTGTCCGGACCTCCCACAGGATTATATTCCTCTTGCGCTCCCTCAAGTAAGACCATCGCTGAATTTCGAGGAGCTGTTTCTGGTGGGATTCCTGGCGAGATGACTACGAGAGTGGAGACAGTTGAAGCTTCCGTGAAGGAGTTCGCTCGATCTATTGCTGGTATCAACGCAGATAGAGCTAGACTGGTGTCGGACATTCTCATCTCAGGACTTCAGATTCCAGATGATGCTGATAGCAAGCAGCTGTCCTTTGCTGCTCTACGGGTTATCATGCCCTCTATCGAGTTGAACAACATTTTGAATGTCCGGCCTCTTCCCAGTAGGACCTCATCCAACCAGTCAACTGGAACTTCAGCAGTCGCCGCTAAACCTCCGTCCTTGGTGGTGACTGTGACATCTCGTGGCTTAGCTCATGAGTTGATTCTAGCGAAAATACGTCATGGGAAATTACACACGTCTGCTCTAAGTAATGACTTAATAAGGGCATCTGGCACGAAGGTCGCTCCGCAACCATCGCTGATCAACATCAACGAATTTCTTCCTTCTGATCTGTATCGTTTGCGCCGGGAAATGAAGGATGCAGCGAAGAAGAAAGGTTTCACGAGTTTCGTCCGTGATGGGGAAGTCTTCATCAAGAGGAGGAAGGAAGACAGGGCTACGCGCATTTCATCATTATATGAGCTAAAAAACTTCTTGCGGGACTCTTAATAAACTTTTCTTCTGCTAACTCTTCCTCTTTCTCTCCTCATGCTTACTCAACTGACCCCCCTCATGCTTCTCCATCTCCTCCTCCCTCACCGCTTCACCCTGAGCCTGATTCCCTATTTTTCTCATCTGGGGAGCATACCTTCTCCGCATCCCTGCTTGAGCAAGATGGCTTGCGCGTCTGCCATCTCAATGTGAAATCCCTCTGGGCCCATATTGAGAGGGTAAGACACTTCCTAAGTACTCGTCCGCCATTTGATGTAATTGCCATGACAGAGACTAAACTCGGCTCCCTGATTGATCATGACGTTGTTTCACTTGATGGCTATAAACTTTTTAGGCGAGATCGAAATAGACATGGCGGTGGTGTTGCGTTGTTCATTAATACTTGCTTCAGAACTAAAAGTCTTACAAACTCGACTCATGTCTGGGTTGCGAGGCCGGGTCTTCCTGAGTATCTGTTCTGTGAGATTTCTTGCCGTGGCATTTTTCCAATTTTTATTGCGGTGGTGTATAGACCACCCAATGCTCCTTTTTTGATGGTACTGACTTTGTACCCTCGCTGCAGATGCATCTGGAGGGCTACAGCTTCAAGGTTATTTTAGGAGACTTTAATGTTGACCAGCTTTCTACTAAACCCGATGCTCTGGTAGTGCGTTCTCTCTGCTCTGACTTAGGATTGCAACTAGTGCCGTATGGAGCTACTCATCACACTCATGACGCTGATACTTGAATTGATCTTTACATGATTGACAATGAGGACACTCTGTTGTTCTTTTGGAAGACAGATGTTCCCTTCGTTAATCGTCATGATCTTATCACTGCGACAATTCCGGCAGTCATGCCTCGCCAGGCTCTGACTAGTGACATCTGCTATCGGGACTTCAAGGCCCTTAATATAGATGGTTTTAATGAGCACTTGATGTCTAGTCACTGGTCGGTGTTTGATGGATCAGGGGCGCCTGTGAATGATCTGGTTGCTTGTGTTAGCTATCATCTGATTGATGCCATTAGTTCATCTGTTCCTATAAAGACCGCGAGAAAGAATCCTAAGCGAAAAGCTTGGTTTACTGGTCGTATTGATGGACTGATTGCTGAGCGTGATCGACTTTACAGGGTGTACAAGCGGGTGCATTCTAGAAGAACTCTTCTAGAATACAGGTCAGCCCGTGATCGTGCCCATCGTGAGGTTGAAAGCGTCCGGCAGCTATTCTTCGGCCGACGCTTGGAGTCTCTCTCTGACCCAGGCCTCATCTGGAAAGAGCTACGACGTCTTGGAGTCGTTCGTAAGGACAATGTGAGCCCTGATTTTGATCCTGAGGTGTTGAATGTGTAGTTTGCTGGAGTATCCTACGATCCGAATGAACCTTCTGTCGACGATTTCCTTAACTCTGCTCTGCGTGCGACATGTACTGCTGATGAGGGTTTTTCATTCGGGCCGATTACTGCTAAGAAAGTTTGCAATGCGATTATGCATTTTTCCTCTGAGGCAAGAGGCGCTGATGGTATTCCCAAGTCGGTACTCACGGTCGCCTTGCCCGCCTGTACAGACTATCTTGTTACGACTTTTAATGCTTCCTTTTCTACATCCTGCTTTCCTTCTCAGTGGAAACAATCCCTTGTAGTGGCGCTAGCCAAGATAAAAAATCCCTCTGGAGCTGGAAACTTCAGACCAATAGCTCTACTATCTTTTCTGTCCAAAGTCTTGTAGAGACTTGCCTACTTACAGATCCTTGGATATCTTACTGAGCGCTCTATACTGGATCCACTTCAGACTGGTTTTCGTCCCCGCAATAGTACACAGACGGCTTTTCTGAAATTGATGAATGACATACGCACTGGGTTTTGACAGACGACAGCTGACTATGCCTTTCTTCTTCGACTTCAGCAAGGCATTCGACTCTGTATCACACGTCCTGCTTCTTCGTAAGCTGATTGGCTATGGGTTCTCTGCATCGGCTATTGGGTGGATAGCATCCTACCTCAGTGGCCGTTCTCAGTCAACTTTAGGTGGTGCGAATGGCATGTCCTCCCCTCAGCCCTTGAATAAGGGCGTGCTGCAGGTGTCGGTTCTCGGCCCTCTGTTGTTCCTTCTTTTCATTAATGACGTTAGTGTAGAATTGGGTCAGAATATTCAGCGACTAATCTACGCTGATGACCTTCAGATATACCTTCGATTCTTGCCGGATGATCTGGAGGTCGCCATTCGCACCATGAGTGCTGCCGCCAACTGTATCATGGACTGGGCCTCCTCAAATCAAATTGAGTTGTTGCAACTCAATCTTGCCAAAACCAAAGCTATTTTCTTTGGTTCTCATTTCTTTGTCAATGACGTCTATTCTTTGCCCAAATTGTCCATCAGCATTGATAGCGCGAGCATCCCCTTCGAATCTTCTGTGCGTAGCCTTGGTGTGATCCTTGACTGCAAGCACACTTGGAAGGAGCATGTTAGCCTTATCAGTCAGAGGGTGCACGCGGTGATGTATCGACTGCGATTTTTTCGTACAAGTACCACCCAGGGGCTGCGTAAGCACCTGATAGAAACACTGGTGTTTCCCTTGGTAGACTAGTGCTGTCTAGTCTATGCTGGTCTTTCTGACGAGTTATCTGTAAAGATCCAACGGCTCATCAATGTGGGAATTAGATACATTTTTGGGGTGAGGAGGGACGAGCATGTCACTCCTTATCGATTGCGCTTGGGCTGACTGCTGTGTGAGACTCGCAGGAAGTACTTCCTGGGGTGTTTGGGCTACAGGGCAATGAGGTTCAATGAGCCGAGTTACCTGGCGGATCTCTTTGTGCTCAACCAGAGCCTGCGTCCGGTAAGGGGTGAGATGACTCCCCTATTAATTAAGCTGTTCAGAACTGAAACTATGCGCCGCTCGTTTCAGACTTCTGCGGCTAATTTTTGGAATTCCCTCCCCAGTGTGATCCGTGACCAGCCTTCCCTCCCTTCTTTCAAGCAGGCACTCCGTGCCTTCTTGCAGAATAAGCCTTAGCCCTACCTTTACTTGCCCTCTTCCTCTTCTATCACTTGCGCTATTAAGAGTCCATAAGTCACTTTTTTGTTTTGTTGGTTTTTTTTCTCCTGCTCATTTACTTGTATTAGTATATAGCTTGATTGCTGCTTGCATATTGCATATTGCTCATATCTGTATAATTTCTTTTCTTTGCTGTATGATCCATCTTCATACATAAGTTTTGTACAACATTATGTATAGTAATAAACATTCCAATCAATCAATAAATCAAGTAACTTTCCAACGCAACATCTTCCTCGAAAATGAATTCTCCCTAAGTGAATTCACCCATGCTCTCAACCCTACCAAAAAACTATTCTCCCCTGGCCTAGATGAAATAGATTATCACATCATCTCCAAACTCCCCCAATCTTATAAAACAAAAATTCTCGAAATTTTCAATGACCTACTCTCTAAAAACCAATTCCCCGACTCATGGCGTCAGTTTCTAGTATTCCTCCTACGCATAAACTCCCGTAACAAATTTAGACCAATTGCACTAGCCTCTTGCTTTCTAAAACTTTGCGAAAAACATAATCTCAAACCAACTCACTTGGTGGCTGGAAACAAACAGAATCCTCCCGAACTACCAATTTGACTTCCGCAAATCACGTTTCTGCGCTGACAACCTTGGTATTTTAACCACTGAAATCTTCACAGGCTTTGCCAAAAACCAATTCACTCCCACTGTCTTTCTAGACATAAAGGGAGCTTTCAATGACGTCGACCCCCACACCATCTACGAAGACCTAGCACGAATCGGAATCCCTAAAAAAATCGCCAACTTCATCTACTTTCTCCTCGCATACAGACAACTATACTTTGTCATTCAAGGTGGGTAAGTAAAGGTGCGACCAAGGTGCCGCATGAACAGGGGTATCGGTCAGGGCTCGGTCCTCAACCCAACCCTTTTTAATATCTACCTGACCAATCTTCCCAACCTAAATGACCTTGGGGCTGAAATCGTGGCCTTTGCTGATGATCTGGCAATTTTCCTCCGCGGACCAAACCTCCACACCTGCCTAAATAAAATTGAATAAGCTGTCTCCAGAATCTCTACTCACCTCCATTCCAAACATTGAGAAATATCCCCTGATAAATCACAGCTGGTTATCTTCTCTATGAAACATTTCTCCCCCAATGACTTCCACATCCACATCAACGATCGGGAAATCCCAGCTAAAACTTCAGCACGATTCTTGGGCGTTGAACTGGACTACAGACTCAACTTTAAAACTCACATTCAAAACCTATGCCTTAAAGCTAACAAAAAAATCTCAATGATCAAATCTCTCAGATCCACTTGGTTTGGAGCGGACCCAAGGACCCTGACTGTCTTTTATCGTGGCCTCAGGAGAAGCGCTTTCGAGTATGGTAGTCACGTCCTCCGGCCGGCCAGCTTCCTAGAATTTAACAGACTAAATAAACTACAATACAAAACCCTTCGCCTTGCTTTAGGCTTCCGTAACTCAACCCCCACCAATATAATCCTCGCTGAAGCCTGTGAACCCCCTCTAAACCTACGCATATCACAACTAACACGCAGATACATAATCAAAATCTTCTCTCTTTCTGACCACATTCTTACAAACTTTACTCCTTACAAGTAATGCTCCAAAGAAAATCAAAGAATCCTCACTCCATCAAAATCAACTTCCCCACCTACCGCTCCTTCAGCGAGATGCAAATTCACAAATCAAAAATTCACTGCAACACCCTCCCTTCCCCTATAACTACTCTTTCGATCTCATCAACCACACACCCCCCATCAACCTCAAAATGGGTACTACTATTGAAAAAAGCACCTCGCCGGAAACAAAACTCCAACAACTGATAAACGACGAAGGCCTCCAGGAACACATCCAAATATACACGCACGGCTCAAAGATTTCCGAGGGATCCTACGTGGGCTACGCTGTGTTTATACCCTCCTCCCAAGTTGAGATACTCCTCAAAATTTCCTCCCTTGCTTCCATCTTTACAGCCGAAGCTCTAGCGATTCTTACGGCCCTCCATTCCATTTCCAAACTCAACCACGACAAATACCTTATCCTCTTGGGATTCGCTAAGCGTCCTATCAGCAATATCCAACTTCTCTCCTAAAAACACCAAATCTCACCTGATCTTCGAGATCCTGAATTGTTGGCTTGGACTCAAAGATCGCGGTGTCCAGGTGATATTCTCCTGGATTCCCTCCCATAGGGGTATTCGGGGTAATGAGGAGGTCGATGCGAGGGCCAGGGCGGCAATCTCAACGTGACTTCTTCAAAATACCTCGCTTCCTCCCTCCGACTTGAAAGAAACCATCAACAACAAGAAGAAAGCCTCCACAGCTTCAACCCTCACAAAACACGGAAAATCAAAAGGCTACCACTACTTTAAGCTCTTTTATAAAGGCTGGCACACCCCTTGGTACCAGGATCTGAATATAGACCACCCTCAAATCACCTCAGGTTATAGAATGGGGTCCAATCACTTCAATTTAAATGAAAGTCTAGCCAGGAAAAACATCATTGCCTCTCGCCTATGTGATTGCAAACAGGTACAAACCCTCGCGCACTTCTTCTGGACCTGTCCTAATTTTAAAGAAGCGTCAAAAATCCACTGGAAACTAAAAACCACTGACTTTAACATAATCAATTTAATCACCTCTCCTGATGAAAAAATCCCCTTTATTCTCCACAACTTCATCAAACGCATGGGCATCAAGTTATAGCGCCTGCTGGCTTGCGCTTTACCTACATATCTTCTTCCTAACTGAACACCACCAAACTCTCCCGCCAAACATTTACCTCTACTTTATCCGATACTTTCCCCTACATCTACCTTACGAACATGGCCTTTTTATCACAATCAAAATAATCACGGCAAAAATATCATAAACCAAAATATCATGAACCAAAAATATCACAATCAAAAATATCACGAACAAAAAGATCACAGCCAAATGATCACAAACAAAAATATCACAGTCCCAATGATCATAAATAATCCTTTAAGCCCCCTCGTTGTATAAAAATTGAATTCTAATTCCAACGGGTCTTTCTCCTCACGTATCAATCAGATAACTCAGGAAATACCTATTATTTCCATGAAAACTCAAGTTGGTGAGCGACATATTGATTGTTGGGTTGTTATTGTTTACTCTTGGGTGCCTTCCTTTCGGAATTAATAATTTTAATCAGTATCATTCTGGGATTCAGTCGGTTCCCATCAAGACCGTTGACATGGGGCTCAAGTTTGTTCTTAATCGACAAGGCAAGCCTATGTTGTTGCATTAAGGATATCTTTATACACATTTTCGAGCTAATGCTAATTCTATTGTATGGCATTGTCGACAGTGGAAGGAGGGAGGTTGTTCAGTGTTCATTCGCACTAGTTCCGACAAAAGGACAAGTATGGTTTTGTCTATTAGGTTTTCTTTTCTCATCGTTCTTGGGCTTATTCATTTACTTGTCACATGATTCATCGTTGGCGAAGCGCTCGAACATACTCAACATACTCCTGATGTTGCTGCTGTACAAGCTCTGAAGGCCATCAATAAATTAAAGAAGAAAGCAAAAAAATCAGATGAAGTTGCTAGTCTACTCGTTGGTTCAGTGGTGGGCCGAATGCTCGAAAATGCTGCCGTAGAATTGCCTACCCGTTCTAATTTGGCGAGAACAGTTCGACGTGTTCGTACTGCTGTCAACCCAGAATCACCAACTCCACCTACACGTGAGGAATTAGTCATCCCTGATTTCTTCAAGATGACTTCTCGAGGTGAACCATTTTTGATGCACGATAGTGGCGGTGCCGATCGTTTTTTGATATTCTCTACTGCAGAAAATTTAGAATTTCTTTGCACCTGTACACAGTGGTTTGGAGATGGAACATTTGAAACTGGGCCTTCCATTTTTTCTCAACTTTACACGATTCATGGGATCCGTGAAAGATAGGCCATTCCCCTTGTATATGTTTTGGCAATAAATAAAACAAAACGTACCTATCGACTTATTCTCAAGTGGATTAAGGAGCAGGTCGGTGAGTTTCAGCCAGAACGTATGGTTCTTGATTTTGAGATGACCTTCATACACGCATTCACTCGCTACTTTCCCGAGACTATTATTTCTGGTTGTTTATTTCATTTTGGCCAGTGTCTCTGGCGCCATGTCCAGTCACATGGATTGCAAACATAGTATCGTGAAAACTCAACCGTTGCACTTAATGTGAGGATGTTCATGTCCCTGGCATTCGTTCCCCCTCACGACGTAATTTCTGCATTCGAACAACTAATTGCAATTGGAATTATCACGCAGCAATAGTGGAAGGGCAGCCACGAACCAACAATGCGCTGGAAGGCTAGCACCAGGGTTTCAATGAACGTGTTCGGCTGAGTCATGCTGCTCTTGGTCGCTTCATCAATTCCATGAAGATCGAACAAGGTCTCACTGAGGTCATGATGTCCAGTGTACTGCGTTGTTGCAGAACCTCGTCGAAGAAAGTATGTGGTAATTGATAGCGCTCTGGAAGCTCTAGTGGACTCGTATAATGCTGACGATATCATCGTC